CCGACGCACATGTCCATCTAGACATAAACATATTCACGGGTGTTTTTCAGCTCCTTAGATGTTTCTCAATGTCTCGGGATTGTAAGTGATGATTATCTGCTGTAATTGAGGTGGATGGGTCTTGAATGCAGAAGTGGAGAGGGGAGGCAATCAAAGGTGGAGGGAAGTGTGAAGCACTGATGTAGATTTTGATCATTGACAGCCATTTGGTCCCAAGGGGTGATGGAAACAAAATCTGCAGATCAAGTATTTTCCCCCGCTCATCTCCTAACTGCTAATGACACTGAAGCATCTCTACTGTAACTAGAACTTTTAGGTTTCTAACATATGTTAAATAAGTACCATAATCAAACTAAAACAAACTGCGGAAAAGGTAGAAATGTAAGTGCATATGCACTTTTTGTGTCTTTCTAGGTATATTTCTTTGTATAGTTCCAATGTGCATGTACATGTTAGCATCCTCTTGGGAATGTGTTTTATATGCTAATTTTGTTAATGTGTGTAAGCTACAGCAGTCTATTGTCATTAGGGTTTCATTAGTCTTTTTACATACTATGTTCTGCCAAGGGAGCAGTTACCTCACACTAAAATCTTTACTTGTGTGTCACTTAGCTGGATAGACAACAGAATATTTTAAATTAGTAAAACCAAATTTGATCTACTGATACTGATCTATTAGTATAGTGAATAAAGAAAAAAATATGACAGATTTATTTTTATTTTTTTACCAAAATGTTAAAAAAGCTCAACTTTAAAATTAAGTTTATATTTTGTTTTGCACTGTTTGTGCATTTTGTTAATCTCTTGGATCACTAATGTCTGGGTAGTTTTGATGAACTAACATTCGCTGTAGCAGACATATCAAGATAAGGAGTTACAAAACAGTGCTGAAAGTGTAAAGGGAACTTTTGAAAGTCATTTTAAGGTGGTATCTTGCTGKACTGCAACTATTTCATACTGGTTTGTAGCTTAAAATGTGGGGGGAAATGGGCAAATGTTTTGTTGCAGTCTCATGTTTGCAACCAAGTGATGGGTGACCAAGTAGCTGATTTTCAATTGGCCAGTTTTTGAAAATGAAACTTTTTGCGCACAGCTTACAAAAATGTATTCTAGGCTGACCACATTGTTTTAGTGCTCACCTTTGCACACATTTTATCCATCTTGGTTGTCTTTATACCCACCTTTGCATGCACCCCCACGCTTATGGTTTAATCCACTAAAGGACACTTTAGAAATTTYCAGTAATTAAGGAAGGTTTGAGATGAGTTTGAAGACCATTGACTGTTATTTGAACATGTTTAAAATTGTATTAAAGCTGTAAATTTCTCTATCTCAAGCTCTGGAGCTGTATATTGACTTCTGCACAGGAGAATTTAAATGACGGAAAACATCCAAGGCTAAAGTCCCAAAGGCCCAGTTCTAAAAATCACACTGGCTAGAGGAAATGGTTGGAGATTATATTTCAACAGATCCCATCATRTTTGAAAAAGTGCGTATGTTGAATATTGCTTTATCAAAACATGTTTCGGTAACAAGTTAAGGTTTGTAGGCCAACTTGTTTGCTTACACATTTTTAGCTCTGCCCAAAGATTTTCTGTGGTATGAGATCAGGGCTTTGTGATGGTCACTACAAGACATTGACTTTGTCATTTGGCCACTTTGAGGCTAGTTTGTCAGTACGCTTAATCATTGAACATTTGGAAGACCCATTTGCATCCAAGCCTTGACTTCCTAGCTGATGTCATGAGATGTTGCTTCAGTATTTTCACATGTTCTTTCCTCATGATGCCATCTATTTGGTTAAGTGCATCAGTCCCTCCTGAAGCAAAATAATCCTGCAATACGATGCTTCCACTCTAAACATTTAATATTTGGGATGGTGTTTTCAGGCTTACAAATTTCCCCCTTTTTCCTCCAAGTGTAGATGGTCATTAATTTTAGTTTCATCAGACCATAGGACATGTTTCCAAAAATTAAGGTTTTTATGTTTATGTGTGCATTTTTTTAACAGTTGTTGTATTTTTTCTTTTGGCTGCTCCCTTCCACAGGGGTCACCACAGCCAGAAAACTCACATAAATGATTTAGCAATTATTTTACACAAGATGCTCTTCCTGGTGCAACCTGGGCTTAAACCTGCAACCTCAGGATGCATCTGTACGTTAATCTGTTTTTCGTGTTGCTTTGGAAGTACGTAATGGCTTTTTCCTTGTTAAGTAGCAATTCAGTTTATGGCAGTGTAGATCTTGTTTCATTGGGCCTCATGCAAGAACATGTTCGTATTCTTATCCTAAATTTCTCTTACTTTTGTTCATACAAAGGGTTCGTATGAACATGTCACGT